AGGAGAGAAGGCCTAAAAAAAATAAAAAATAAAAAATAAATTCCTCCTTTTAAATATAGGCATGCCTCATTTATCATGCTTCACTTTATTATACTTTGCAGATACTGTGATTTTTACAAGTTGGAGATTCGTGGCCACCCTGGCATTGAACAAATCTGTTAGCACCATGCCCACTTCATGTCTCTGTGTCCCATTTTGGTAATTCTTAGAATATGTCAAACTGTCTCATTCTTAGTATATTTGTTATGGTGATCTGTGATCTGCGATCTATGACGTTACTATTGTAATTGTTTTTAGAGCACCACAAAATGTGCCCACATAAGGCAGCAAATTTAACTGACAAGTGTTATGTGTGTTCTTGACTGTTCCACCAACCAGCCATTTCCCCCCATCTCTTTCTCCCTCTCCTCGGCTCACCCTATTCCTTGAGGCACAACAGAACTGAAATTAGGCCAATTAATAAAACCACAATGGCTTATAAGTGTTCAAGTGACAAAGAGTCCCATGTCTCTCATTTTAAATCAAAAGCTAGATATGATTAAGCTTAATGATTATGGCATGTTGAAAGCTGAGATAGAGGCTGGAAACTAGGCCTCTTATGCTAAACAGCCAGAGTTGTGAATGCAAAAGAAAATTTCCTGAAGGAAAGTAAAAGTGCTACTCCAATAAATCTGTGAATGATAAGAAAGCAAAACAGCCTTATTTTATATAGAGAAAGTTTTAGTATTCTGGATAAAAGATCAAACCACCACAACATTCTCTTAAGCCAAAACCTAATGGAGAGCAAGGCCCTAACTCCCTGTAATTCTGAGAAGGCGGAGAGAGGTGAGCAAGCTGCAGAAGAGAAGTGTGAAGCTAGCAGAGGTGGTTCTTGAGGTGAAGGAAAGAAGCCGTCTCCATAACATAAAAGAGCAAAGGGAAGCAGCAAGTGTTGGTGTAGAAGCTGCAGCCCATTATCCAGGAGATCGTGCTGAGATCATTAATGAAGGTGGTTACACTAGACAACAGATTTTCAATGCAGACGAAACCGCCTTCTAGTGGAAGAAGACGCCATCTAGGACTTTCATAGCTTAGAAAAGAGAAGTCAGTGCCTGGCTTCAAAGCTTCAAAGGACAGGCTGACTCTCTTGTTAGGACCTAATGCAGCTGGTGACTTGAAGTTGAAGTCAGTGCTCATTTACTTTCTGAAAATCCTAGAGCCCTTAAGAATTATGCTAAATCTACTCTGCCTGTGCTTTATAAATGGAACAACAAAACCTGGATGACAGCACATCTGTTTATAACATGGTTTACTGAATATTTTAAGCCCACTGTTGAGACCTGCTGCTCAGACAAAAAAGATTCTTTTCAAAATATAACCACTCATTGATAATGTACCTGGTCATCCAAGAGCTCCAATGGAGCTGTATGAGATTAATGTTGTTTTCATGCCTGCCACCACAACATCCATTCTGCAGCTCAGGGATTGGGGAGTGATTTCAACTTTCAAGTCTTCTTATTTAGGAAATACACCGTGTAAAGGTACAGCTGCTATAGATAGTGGACCTGGTGGGTCTGGGCAAAGTCAACTGAAAACTTCCTGGAAAGGATTCACCATTCTAGATACCATTAAGAACATCTGTGGGGCGCCTGGGTGGCTCAGTCGTTAAATGTCTGCCTTTGGCTCAGGTCATGATCCCAGGGTCCTGGGATCGAGCCCCGCATCGGGCTCCCTGCTCTGCTTGTGTTCCCTCTCTGGCTGTCTTTTTCTCTGTCAAATAATTAAAGATCTTAAAAAAAAAAAAAAAAAAGAACATTTGTGATTTTTGGGGTGCCTGGGTGGCTCAGTTGATTAAGCATTGGCCTTCGGCTCAGGTCATGATTCTGGGGTCTTGGGATCGAGCCCCATATCAGGCTTCTCCCTCTCCTGATCCCCCTGCTTGTGCGCTCACTCTCTCTCTCTCTCTGTCAAATAAATACATAAAATCTTAAAAAAAAAAAAAAAGTTTGTGATTCATGGGAAGCGTTAAAATATCAATATGAACTGGAGTTTGGAAGAAATTGACTGCAATCCTCATGACCTCGAGGGTTCAAGACTTCAGGGGAGGAAGTAACTGCAGATGTGGTGGAAAAAACAAGAGAATCGGAGCCTGAAGACAAGACTAAATTGCTGTGATCTCCTGATAAAAGTTGAATGGATGAGGAGTTGCTTCTTATGGATGACAAAGAAAGTGGTTTTTTGAGATCTGCTCCTGTTGAAGATGCTGTGAAGATTGTTGAAATAACAACAAGGATTTAGAATATGACATAAACTTAGTTGATAAGGCAGTGTCAGGGTTTGAGTTGATTATGGTTTTGAAATAATTTCTACTGTGGGTAAAATGTTACCAAACAGCATCTCATGCTACAGAAAAATGGTTTGTGAAAGGGAGAGTCAATCAATGTGGCAAACTTCATTGTTGTCTTATTTTAAGAAGTTGTTGCCACAGCCCCCTCAGCCTTGGACAACCACCACCCTGATCAGTCAGTGGCCATCAACATCGAGTCAAGACCCTTCACCAACAATAAGATTATGACTCCTCGAAAGTTCAGATGATGGTTAACATTTTTTAGCAATAAAATATTTTTAATTGGGTATGTACATTGGTTTTTTTAGACATAATGCACATTTAATATACTGAAGTATAGTGTAAACATAACTTTTACATTCTCTGGGAAGCGAAAAAATTCATTTGACTGTATTGTGATATTTGTTTATTGTGGCGATCTAGAATCAAACCTGCAGTATCTCCAAGGTATGCCTGTATCGTGTCAGTTTTCAGCCAGAACAAACAGTAAATATTTCTGGCATTATTAAACAAATCCCCCCCTTGGATGTAAGAGGGGCCCCCAAAGAGGGTGCAAAGGATATTACCTTCCCAAGATCCAGAGTCACTCCCAAAGGAAGCCAAAAGAAAGAACCCAAAACCTGTATGTCCCAGGCAGGCAGAAAGCCAAACCAAGTTCTTAGGACACAAAACTAGGCAAGCAAGAAGGCAATAATTATCCCTGGGGTGAAAGGATCAAAAACTGAACAGATCTGGATTTGCAAAGGAAGGGATAACGTGAAATTTTATTTTCTGCCATCTTGGGAACATGAATTCTTTGGATGGGATTCTAGAATATACCTGCAAAGGACATTGGTAGGAAAGCCTGATGCTGGCAGAGCCTGGTTGTGGAGCCCAGCAAACCAAGCCCTATTCCCTGTCCCAGATGCTTCTGCTAAATTCACTTCCTGACTTTCAGCAGTTACATGAGTAACCTATATATCATGGGTCTGGAGATCAGGCCAGAGTGCTCTCTGTAAATCTTGTAGGAAAAAGGAAGTTAAAATAGGCAGACAGGGCCAGATTTTAAGAAGAGGAATTCACATTGGATTTAATTTTTGTTTTAAGTCTAATTTGTGTTCTTTCATCTTGTTAAGGGAGTTCCTAAGGCTAACCATTATAATTTTTTTTGTGTGTCCTCTTTTTAATTTGGTCTTTGTATAGGTGCCAATAAGATAATTATTTAGGATGAGAGCTCTCTAAACCAATTTTTTTCTTTTTTTAATTTATTATTATTTTTTTGTTTTTTAAAGATTTTATTTATTTGACAGAGAGAGAGACACAGCGAGAGACAGAACACAAGCAGGGGGAGTGGGGGAGGGAGAAGCAGGCTCCCCGCTGAGCAGGGAGCCCGATGCGGGGCTCGATTCCAGGACCCTGAGATCATGACCTGAGCTGAAGGCAGACGCTTAACGACTGAGCCACCCAGGTGCCCCAAACCAATTTTTTTTTTCTTTTAAATATAGCCAATTCAGAGGCTCCATCATCTGGCTATTGACAAGTAGGATCTTAAATTAATTTCAATAGCAACTCAAACCAATAAGCCTTTTTATGACCTAACCATGAACTCAAGAGGTGTTTCCAAAGGAGAGTACAAAAAATGCAGCCCTTACAAATCCAAAAAGTTCACTCCCAAAGTTAACCTGAAAAAAGATCTAGCTGCAAATGGAGTACACTCACATTTCTGTCCAGCAAAATTAGTGACAACAGATGTTGAGACAACAAAGGCCCCTTATGGACCAGGACCCCTTACGACAAATTCCCTTGAAAGCTGGTACAGTTGGACAAAGAAAATTCTGCTTATCAGATCCACAGCATATGGCTATGCACCAGATACACCAGTATATGCATCCCCCAGTTGGCAGAGACCAGAGGGAATATCCTTACTTTTCATAAAGCCAAGCTCTCAAGACACAGAACGAGGCAAAAGGGAAACCTCATTCAATTTTTCTTAAATGCACATTAACAGCTTTAGCTAAGCCTTGGGTTTCAGAGCCAAACTAATATGTAGGAGGGATGTGCCCCAGGGTTGGGGGTTTTGTGGTGGTTTACAAAGTGCCTCATTACACAGACATTTTTTTGAGGTTAACAGGTAACCTATGGTCAGTCTAACCTGTTCTGTGACCAAGTGACCAACTTATCCTAACACATGAGTCTTTGAGTTAGGTGGCAATCACTCTTAATAGCTTTAAAGTGCTAGACCCATGCCCACCAGTTTTGTGGCTTTGGCTTCCAAAACGTCCCTTAGCAACAGCCTCTACCTTATGTGCACATTAACCCATGGCAGAGTTAGTCTAAGTGAACACTGGTCTGTGAGAACCATGGACTCAACTGTGCTGTGAGGCCAGGTCAAACAGCAGGCTTACAAGCCAGCGCCTGCATTCTTCCCTATGGTTTTCTTCCTCGTGACAAATGACGCAACAGAGACAAAGGAAAACAGTGACCATCTCTGGGAGGAAAAGGATCAACAAAAATCAAGAGTACTCCTAACAAGTCTTTAGCAAAGTCAATAAATCCAAGGAACCAGTTGCACAAATATTTTATCCCACTCACCTAAATTTAAAAAAGGAAAAAAGGGGGGAGAAAAAGAGTCACCACTCTCACTTGCACCGTCCCTTCAGGCAGAGATCTGGGAGACTGAGGTAAGAATTCTTACCTTCTGCTGATGCTGATCAGAGATCCCAGGCTCTCTCTGCTGCAGCAGAGCCTCAAAGCAAGAAGTGTCCCGCTAGTCGTTCATCCTGCCAACTGTGCCAGCTGTTGGGGAGGAAAAATTTTTCCTCTACCCTTGGCTGGTAAATTAATATAAGACAGATTAACAGGAGAAAAACATTTAATTACATACATATGGGGGCCCCACAAAGACCATTAGATTCCAAAGACAAGTCATCCAGTTGAGGCTTACGTGCCATCCTAAGCTAAGGAATGGGATGGGGCGGGGGGACCTGGGGCTTCAAAGGGGAGGAGGGTGATCCATAGGACGATGAGAAGAGCAGATATTAGCTAATTAGGTGTTTGCCCTGCTATACAGATAAATCTTTCAATAAAAAGTTGCCTTTGGCAATTGCTCTCTTTCTAGGCCAGGACCACTGTCTAAATTCCTTTAAATAGTTAAGGGAAAGGTAGAAGTTTTTCTTGAGTCTGCTGGGTCTTGATTGCCTTCAGCTCAAAATAATCCACATGCCAAAGTGACATATTTTGGGATCATGTATATTGCTCCCTCTCATATGATCCCATTTATATGAGGTTCCTGAAATAGATTCATAGAGTGAGTGGAACAGTAGTTACCAAGGGCTGGGGAGGAGTGAATGGCAAGTTATTTGTTAATAGGTAAAGAGTTTTGTACGGATTGATGAAAAAGTTCTGTGGGTGGATGGTGATGGTTGCAGAACAGTATGAATGTACTTAATGCTACTGAATTAAACAACTTAGAAATGGTCAATATGGCAAATGTTATGTTAACATGTACTTCACTGCAATAAAAATTTTAATTTAATTTAAAAAATTTAAGTCTACAGACTTGAATTGCCATATGGTCATTGTAAAAAATGGAAGAACTTTCAGACACTGTTAAGTAGAAATAGTTGATTTTTATTTACTTTTTTCTATTTTTTTAAAATATTTTTTTTTAAAGATTTTATTTATTTATTTGAGAGAGAGAATGAGATAGAGAGCATGAGAGGGGGGAGGGTCAGAGAGAGAGGCAGACTCCCTGCTGGGCAGGGAGCCTGATGTGGGACTCGATCCCGGGACTCCAGGATCATGACCTGAGCCGAAGGCAGTCGCTTAACCAACTGAGCCACCCAGGCACCCTTAAAAGATTTTATTTATTTATTTATTAGAGAGAGAGTGCAAGGTGGAGGGAGAGGGAGAGAGAGAATCTCAAGCAGACTCCACGCTGGGCGTGGAGGCCAAGGCGGGGCTCAGTCCCACGACCCTAAGATCATGACCTGAGCTGAATTCAAGAGTCAGATGCTTAACTAACTGAGCCACACAGGTGCCCCTATTTTATTTTATTTTAAGTAAACTTTACACACAACATGGGGCTCGAACTCATGACCCCAAGATCAAGAGTCACACGCTCCACTGACTGAGCTAGGCAGGAGCCCCTAAAAGTAGTTGAATACAAGAAAAGTCAAAGGCTGCTTAAGAAAGGAAATGTAACCATAGTAAACTGCTTGGTTGTGCAGGTAAAAATGTTTATATAGTCCTAGTCATATGAGCAATATTTATTGACTTTTCGACTTTGAAAACCAACCTACAGACTCAGCAAGGATGACCCTTGTGGTTACAGAACAAAACATAAGCCCTATCCAGTTTGATGGTGTAAAACTAAAATCACGGAGGGGCACCTGGGTGGCTCAGATGGTTAAGCGGCTGCCTTCGGCTCAGGTCATGATTCCAGGGTCCTGGGATCGAGCCCCACATCGGGCTCCTGGCTCAGCGAGGAGCCTGCTTCTCCCTCTCCCTCTGCCTCTTTCCCTGCTCATGCTTTCTCTCTCTCTCTCTCTCTCTCTCTCTTTCTCTCTGTATCTCTGTGTCTCAAATGAGTAAGTAAAATCTTTAAAAAAAAAAAAAAAACTAAAATCACAGATCGGGGAAGTAGGGAGGTAGGAGAATGAGGCAAAGGGGAGAGTAAGTGCCAGAGTAGCCATATCTGACAAACTTGGAACTTAGACAGAACAAAACATAAAACCTGAAGTTACAAGGACTAAAAATAGTGATAAAAACTCTATTGGAAAGAGTGGGGGTTGGCAGGGTACAAATGACTTAAGTCCTCACACAGAGCAGGATGTTGATAACATCATTCATATATCCATGAATAGATTATTTAGAGCTATAGAGGTTAACTACCAGAAAAGCAAATAGTTCAGAGTGATTGCTTTGGGAGCACCTGGGTGGCTCAGTCGTTAAGCGTCTGCCTTTGGCTCAGGTCATGATCCCAGGGTCCTGGGGTCGAGCCCCGCATCGGGCTCCCTGCTCGGCAGGAAGCCTGCTTCTCCCTCTCCCACTCCCCCTGCTTGTGTTCGCTCTCTCGCTGTGTCTCTCTCTGTCAAATAAATAAAATCTTAAAAAAAAAAAGAGTGATTGCTCTGTGAAGCAGCATCGAGATCAAGAAGTGGTGGGGCATTGGCTTTTATTAAAGCCCTTTGAGTACTATTATTTCTTAACCAAATGTGTGTATTGCTTTAATAATAGTAAATAAAAAATGTTAAAAATGACTTCCAAATCAAAAATAGTGCTTATGTCTGGGAGGCCATAAGACTGGGAGAGATTCTTACCTTTCCTTTATACTCTCTGTTGTTTGACTTGAGTATGTAATTTTTTTAGTTTTATTTATAAAACAAATAAATAAAATTTATTTATTTAAGTAATGTCTACACCCCATGTGGGGCTTGGAACTCCCAACCTTGAGATCAAGAGTTGCATGGTCTTCTGACTGGGCCAGCTAGGTGCCCCAAGTATGTGTTATTTATGTTTTTTCCTTTATCATTCCCTCTCTCTCAACCACTTAAGAGTACATTGAAAACAGCTTTATACTTACCCTACCTTCAGGGTTTATTTCCTAAGAACAAAAGCATTCTTTTACAAAACCAGAGTAGTTATCAAAAACAGAAATTTCACATTGATACAATACTGTTATCTACTTCACAGCCCATATTCATGTTTTTCCATTGTCCTAGTTATGTCCTTTATGGCTTTTTTTTTTCCCCAGCCCAAGATCCAATTCAGGACCAGGCACTGCATTTTGTTTTCATGTCCCTTCAGTTTCTTTTAATCTGGAACAATTTCTTAGCCTTTCTTTGTCTTTTCTGATCTAGATATTTTTTAAGACCGTAAGTCAGTTATTCTATAGACTGTCCCTCAGTTTGGGCCTGCCTGATGTTTCCTTCTTGTTAGACAGATCCAGGCTTTACATTTTTGCCAGAAATGCTGTATGTGAACTGTCTCAGTTCACCTCATCAGGAGGTCCCTGATGTTACTTTATCTCAATATTGCTGATGTTAAGTGTGATCCTTTGATTAAAGTAGACGTCTACCAGGTTTTTCCCCCGGAAAGTCAGTGTTTTGTAATCAGGAAGTTATCATGAGGAGATACTTTGAGACAAATGTGTATTTTTTTCCCCTAAGCTAGTTAGGGGAATGACAGGAGGCATTTCAGAAGAGGGTTTGGTAAAGGCTAGCTTCTGGGACGCAGTATCCTTTCTGCTCACCTGGTTCTCCAGGTTCCTCTGTCACCACTTGCCATTGCTCTCCTCCTCTAACTCATCCATTTCTGCCTTGGATATCTTCAGAGCCAGTGGCTGAATGAGGCCCTTCGAGCATTTCTTTAAACCTGAAGCCTAGAAGATGCTAGGGCAATGGTTCTCAAACTGTTTTTAGAATCTAAGACATAAAACAGAAGTTATTTGGGTTAGAGCAAGAGCAATAGACTGCAGCCTTGCCCAAAAAGACCTTCTCCTTCCCTGCTCGTTGGGTCTCAGGGCCCCCCAGCCTGCAGTCTAGGACAGCATCGAAACTTCTGGCCCAGGAGGCACACCAATGGCCACTGGATCCTTGGGAAGGCTGGCTTGGATCTTACCCCCTCTTCCATTTGCTGCCTCAAACAGCTCTGACCTTGAGTCCTGGGGCCACATGAGTCATTGACTTTGGAGAAGGAACTCTCAGCCTGTGCTCAAGCAACATCCCAACCCCCTATCCATCCCCACTGTCCTTTCTCTTTTGTTTTCCTAAAATATAGACTGTAGTCCAGAGACAAGGGCAAGGAGAAGGAGCAGAGACCCAGAAAGGCCCCTCGTAACCCTCTGGCTTGAACCTTCCAGGCTGGCATGCTGGAGGAGGCAGCCAAGTTAGATGTCCAGGCCCCAAACCTGACAGATCTCCTGAGCATTCTCTCCAACAGACCACCCCCATCAGAGGGGAACTGGAATCTGGTGGATAACCACAGCCACCAGGAGGAAGTGGGCTGGAAGAATTTTCACTTCTCCAAAGTTATCCTTACTGGTGGCTTTCAGAGTCTGTATATGACAAAAAAAGTGGGGGTGGGAGAGGGCTGAAGAAAACACTGGCCAGGAATGAATCTCAACTTTATCACTGACTGCTGCAGCCGTGTGACCCTGACAGGTCATTTCTATTTCCTGACCCTCACTTTCCAGTCTAAAGTGGGGGCAAAAAATAAGCAACTCCTACAGTTGTCAGGAGGACTCACTGTGATCCTGCAGTGGGCTTTCCAGATCTTAGGAAATGCCATGCCACTGGTGTGGTTTGGGCCATGGCTTCGTGCCAGCTCTACTATTACTTACCTAATAATTCCCCCTAACTGGTTTGCCTTTTAAACATGTCCTGGAGCGCCTGGGTGGCTCAGTCATTAAACGTCTGCCTTTGGCTCAGGTCATGATCCCAGGGTCCTGGGATAGAGCCCCACATCGGGCTCCCTGCTCGGTGGGAGGCCTGCTTCTCCCTCTCTCACTCCCCCTCCTTGTGTTCCCTCTCTCGCTGTCTCTCTCTGTCAAATAAATAAATAAAATCTTTAAAAAAATAAAATAAACATGTCCTGAAGAAATACTGCTCATGAAATTGGCTTTATTTCACATATTTTATTTTTCTACTATACCTTAGAAGAAATGAACAATGATTAAACTTAAAAGTGTTCATATGAGAATTAAAATAAAAACTTGAAACAGACAAAAAATTAAAATTAAAAAATAAAGAAAATAAAGTGTTAATGTGTGTACCACAGTGGGGTAATGGATGCAGAGTGATCCCTCCCTCCCCTCTGTGTAGCACTACCACCAATACCTCTCCCCCCCTCCCCAGTCTCTGATTTAATGTCCATGGCTTTGTTTGTATGGAAATGAAAGGGGCCCCAAAAGTCTGCAGTGATAGGTATTTTAACCCATTCAGTATGTTTTTGCAGAGACTCAAGTGGCCTTGAGTCATGACCAGGATTTGGGTGCGGAAGGGAGGACCATGAGAAAGAGCAGACCATGTCACCCCAAAATATGCCACTTTGGCATATGGATTATTTTGAGCTGAAGGCAATCAAAAAATCTTCTACCTCTCCCTTAACTACCTAAAATAATCTAGATAGGGGAAGCCTGGCTGAGAAAGAGGGCTCTTACCAGAGATAACTTTTTGGCTGAAAGACGCATCTGTATGGCAGGGCAAACACCTAATTACCAAACATCTACTCTTCTTTTTGTCCTTTAAATTACCCTCCTCCCCTTTGAAGCCCCAGACCCCCATCCCATTCCTTAGCTTAGGATGGCACATAAGCCTCAATTGCCTGACTTGCCTTTGAGTCTCCTATCTTTCGGGCACCCTTATGTATGTATGAAAGTAAATTTGTTTTTCTCCTGTTAATCTGTCTTACGTCAGTTTGATTATTAGATCAGCCAAAGAACCTAGAAGGGAAGAAGGGAAATTTTTCCCACCCCTACTATTGATATGTCAGAAGCAGGATCTCTGCAGAGAAGGCTGTGTTTACGCTTACCCTAACCCACTCTCAGAAGTGGCCTATTCTCCACTTAGAGCAGGCCATGGGAGCTTTCTGGTAGGGGGTGACCACATTGCTGCCTGGACATATCAGCAACAGGCTCTCCAGAACATAAGCCAGAGGCTGAATTGGGGCCACATTTTAGGTGGAATGCAGCTGGATAGTCAGTTCCAACTGCATATCCTCTGCATTAATCAGAGTTCAATTATGAGAAGCAGAAACCATTCTAGCAATTTTAATCAGAAGGGGATTTAATACAGAGGATCAGATGCTTACAAAATCATTGGAGGGCCTAGAGGAATGGCTTTGCTGGGCCTCTAAGCCAGCACCCAGAAGACACAGCAGAACTGGCCTACCAGAGGAGCTGCCGTCTCTCCCACAGGAGGCAGGAGAGTCAGGAGGCTGTCACCTGGACTGTGATCCGCCAGATATGAGGAAGCCTTTTTCACTGCTGCAACTCTCAATCTCTTAGCTCCCGCAGAGCTGAACTGCTGCTGAAACCCAGTATCTCCCAGTCCATGCCAGCCAGCAATTACAACCAGAGAAGCAAAATGATGGCCTCTACCTCACTCCTAGCTGCATCGATGTGTTTAACTGGTGGAGCTAACTCTTATCCAGAATTCTACCTGCAAGGAAGGCAGTGAAATTTTTGGCTTTCTAGCCTCTGGAGCATGTGAAGGCACATTAAGAGATTGGAATGGATAATGGGAGTCAGTTTATCATACCTACCACAGTCAAACAAATGAAGCATCTCTAATCCCTGGGCCCAGCTGACCTTCCCAGCCTCATCTCCAGCCCCTATCCAACCCACCCACCCACCCTGTGTTCAACTGAATTGCTGGGGTACCTCCAACGCTCAGTGTCTTTGCTCAAGATGGCCCTTTGTCTGTAACACTCTTACTTTGCCTACCAGATGAATTTGGATTGCCTCTTCTATTTTTTTTTAAGTAGGCTCTATGCCCAGTGTGAGGCCTGAACTCACAACCCTGAGATCAAGAGTCACATGCTCTACCTGACTAAGCCAGCCAGGTGCCCCTGGATTGCCTCTTCTTAGAAGCTTTCTCTTACCTCCTGGGGAAAAATCTTATTCTAGGCTTCTATACGCATACCTTCTCTAATGATTTATTTATATGTTTGTCACCCATTCTAGTCCAAGAGGGCAGAGACTAGGTCTCACCTGTCTCTGTTTACACAGCTGAGCAAGGTTGAGACCAATTCCTTTTAGCTCCTGGCATATTAAAAAAGTGAAAGAAGACTGAAACAGGGTAACAAAATTGCTGGTACAATTTAAAGGCTTAAGTTTACCAACTTAATGCTTTTAACATAAAAATGATGCAGTGTAACTGGAATATTTTCAAAATGAATTCAGAAAAATTTTAATTTATAAATTTGTAGAACATAAAAGTATTAATTCATTTTAAAAGGCATTAGAAACTATAGGAGAAAATGTTAATTTTACTCCAAATGAGTTCTCTACTTTTTATGTTATCATGATCCTCAATTTTTATCTGTATTTATGGTCAACCAGGGAATACTACATTTCCCAGACTCCCTTGCTGCTACATGTGGCCATATAATTAAGTCTGGCCTATAGAATGTGGGAGCAAGTGATATACACAACTTCAGGGTCTCTAAAAGGGAAAAGATATTTTCTTACTTCCAATAGGCAGTATGCCACATTGGGCTGAGCAGACTGGGGCATGCCTAAGGATAGTTGAGCAATGATATATTTGGAGGCTGACTCCCTGATACTGCAAAGCAGGACTTTTTTTTTTTTTTAAAGATTTTATTTATTTATTTGACAGAGAGAGACACAGCGAGAGAGGGAACACAAGCAGGGGGTGGGTGGGAGAGGGAGAAGCAGGCTTCCCACGAAGCAGGGAGCCCGATGCAGGGCTCGACCCCAGGACCCTGGGATCATGACCTGAGCCGAAGGCAGAGGCTTAACGACTGAGCCACCCAGGCGCCCTCCAAAGCAGGACTATTAATAGATGAAGAAGAAACTTCTGTCTCTCTAATGTGCAAGTATTTAGGTTCTCTATTAGAGCAACTGAAAGTACACCCTGATTCAGAACCAGAACCTGATTCAGAATGGAAATATATGATGAGTACCACTGTTTTGCAGGTATAATTTCCTTTGGAGACATCACATCAGTAAAATTCTAAATGTAGGACCTGTTTGTAAATGTGAGACCCAGGCCAATGTTATTCCTGAGTCCCTGTAACAGGTGTTAGACTTAGGCCTAGAAAAGACACTCAGTATATAAAAGAATTAATGATCTAGGAGGTCATATATGTTTTTTTACTCTATCTTAGGTGTTTTTATTTTAAAGATTTTATTTATTTATTTGAGAGAGAGAGAGAGCACGAGTGGGGGAGAAGCAGAAGGAGAGGGAGGGACAAGCAGACTCCATGCTGAGCGTGGAGCCTGACACGGGGTCAATACCATGACCCTGAGGTCATGACCTGAGCCAAAATCAGGAGCTGGACACTTAATCGACTGAGCCACCTAGGCACCCTTCAGGTATTTTGTTTTGTGTTGTGTTTTTAACAAGATAACCTGTTCCCAGATTTAAAGGAGTTGTAACAAGATATAAAATGGTCATTACACAAAGATGTCCATCGCTGTGAAACATCGGAAATAACCTAATAATAAATCAACATCAGAGGGATTAAAGAAATCATGATTCATTCATTCAAAGGAAAATTGCAGCCATTAAAATAATGACAAATATGTGTCAATGTATAATAAGCTTTGAAGTTTTGCTGAATTAAGAAAGATTATAAAATAGGGCGCCTGGGTGGCTCAGTTGGTTGGGCGACTGCCTTCGGCTCAGGTCATGATCCCAGAGTCCCAGGATCGAGTCCCACGGCGGGCTCCCTGCTCAGCGGGGGGTCTGCTTCTCCCTCTGACCCTCTTCCCTCTCGTGTTCTCTGTCTCTCATTCTCTCTCTCTCTCAAATAAATAAATAAAAAATCTTAAAAAAAAAAAGAAAGATTATAAAATAGTATACTCAAATTGGAAATCTGACTCTGTTAAGAAGCATGTACACAAAAAGAACAAAAAATCACAATCACTTACGGTGTGCTTGGCCTTCTGCTGAGTCTTAAGGATACACAAATGAATAAAATGTGGTCCTAATATGGCTTTCTGTTATGGTACCGGCACCCAGTGATGTGCAGTTAAATGTTTAACAGCCACCTATCAGTTGGGGGTGGAGAGAAACATTTTGTATTTTTGCCAATTTCTGTGGTGTAAGCATTTCCACCATGGCTGATTTCAAGCTACCAATGAACACTGAACAGAGAATTGGGAAGAGATATACAAGTGGGTCTGAGAGTCAGTACACACTGGCTCCAGCAAACCCTGGAGATTTCCACCTCCTAACGTCTAACAGTTGGGAGGTGGTTCTTAAAGAAACAATAATTTATTCATGGAATGGAATGCAATCCAGTCATGAGAATATCATACTTTAGAATAATTAGTCTTACTTGAAAATTTCAAGGTTCATTTTCAAGTTTAAAAAACAAGTACGCGTGAGTGAGTCAGTGAAAATGGCAATGTAAGGACTCAAAAAATCATCTCCTCCATAAAATCAACCAGAAAATGGCAAAAATGATCAGAATCAATTTTTTGAGGAGTGTGGAAATTAGTCAAAGGCTTGGAACAACCTGAAGAACATTTATTCAAGAATAAAGGTGAGTGGGGCGCCTGGGTGGCTCAGTCGTTGGGCGTCTGCCTTCGGCTCAGGTCATGATCCCAGGGTCCTGGGATCGAGCCCCACGTCGGGCTCCCTGCTCAGCGGGAGGCCTGCTTCTCCCTCTCCCACTCACCCTGCTTGTGTTCCCTCTCTCGCTGTGTCTCTCTCTGTCAAATAAAAAAAAAATAATAAAGGTGAGTGTCAGTAAGAACAGTGAGTTTTATGACATTTTAACTTGCCCTAGACCCATCTCCTGTTCGCCAGGTCAACAGTAGCCTTCAAAAATAACCATCTG